ATGTGTGTGTGTGTGTGTGTGTGTGTGTGTGTATACACCGGGTGTAACAGAAAAATTATCCAAATTGTGTATCAGGAAAATTGTCTAATTTTTAGATTAAGACTTCAATGTTCACTTTTATATTTACATACGCTCTGTTTTGATATTGAGCACCTTATCTGAAAAATATAGCACACCTTAAAAACTATATCTCTTCATATATATATATATATATATATATATATATATATATATATAATATATTGATATGTGGGTATATTTATTTATTTGAAAAAATTTCTCCCATTACTAATTAAACATATGTTGAACCTTTTAATTATTCTCGTATTTCCATTTTATTATGTCTCAGTTGCTTGCTTTTTAAGAAACAAACCTTTTCATTTTATTTTTCGAACATTATTATATTTTATTATGATTTTTAAATATTTGCTAAGATCTTTATGGGGAATTTTAAGAAACATTCAGTTACAATTTCATTTCAAGTTTTCTAAACATTGCAACACGTCGAAGTGCCCTATATACGTAAGAATCAACGTGTGGGTAAATTCACGTCATTCCTGAAATTTTTCTTGGAAATTCATTCTTAATCCCAACTTAGATCTAGAAGTGTTGGTCGAATGTAGATGAAGGTACAGAGAACAATCTGAATAGTGCAAATATCGAAGTTTCAACTATGCTGTCAAAATTGATTTTTATGACAAATAACAACACATTATATTAGGATTAAGACCAGTATAGATTAGACAATGTTGAGTAATTCAATGCAAATGCAGTGCAGATAAACATGATTAATATATATATATATATATATATATATATATATATATATATATATAGATGGTACATTGGTTGGATAATGAGTTTATTTTTGGGTTTCATTTTCTGAATTCTGCGATTAAAACCCAGGTCATTATCCAACCAAATATGTTATTTTCCGTGATCTTTAAGCGTTTTAATAAGTACATATAATATATTAATATATAAATAATTATATATATATATTTATTTATATTTATGGACCATATATATATATATATATATATATATATATAATATAAAATATATATATATATAATATGTATGTATATAAATAAAAAGAAAAGAACAGTAAGATATATAATAAATTGTTCTTATAGATATTTTATTTTTAATAAAATAGTGCTCAATGTAAATTTACAGAGCATTAATATTATAAATTAATGGTTTTTTGAAACATGGATAGAACTGTGTAGCGAAAAAACATATTTTAAAAAAATAAATATATATATATATATATATATATATATATATATATATATATATATAGGCAGCAATCCTTCGTTTATGCATGTTTCATTAAAAACGACAGACAAGGTACTACGGTTAAGCCTTTTATTTCATTTTTCTTAGGTTCGAACAAGAGCTTTCTTTTCTGGACAAAGAGTGTGTAAAAACTGTCCAAATGTTCTATAGTTCCGAGCGCTTTCGGCTATACCTTTAGCCATTATCAAGGATGATTCAATTTTTCAGCTTAATTGTGTGCATTATGTGTATGTTTTAGTGTGTTTTAGGGATGTTTTTAATTTTCGAATACGGTTAGCACACTGTGGCCTTGTTCGTAACCAATATTGTTAGAGGTAGCTTTTTCTTTTTTATTTTCAAAGCCTCCATTACCTACAATCCCTTTTTACAAGTGGATGAAATTAATATATTTGTATTTTCTACTAGTATGTTTCTAATGGAGTCTGGTAATATTGTGTGTGTGTGTGTTTAAATGGGTTCTAATGGAGCTGTGATAAGATAGGTGTAACGTAAGGCGTCTGGATAAGCATGTGGTTGTGTAGCAGATGTAATTATTTATGATTCCGGTTTGATCAGGAACACGGAACCTTAAGGGGCATTTGAACTCATAGATAATGTTCGTTCTTTGTAATTTTGACTTAACTGAATCCATTTAAAGATTTCTTTGTCCAGAAAAGAAAGCTCTTGTTCGAATTCAGAAAAATTAAATAAAAAGCTTAACCGTAGTACTTTGTCTGTCTTTTTTAATGAAACACGCATATATATATATATATATATATAATAAGGTGTTCAATAGGGTTAATTCCGGGGACTGACTTGGCCATGGAAGTTTATTGATCCAATTTTGTCTCATTGCTTGAGCAGTGTGACATGGATCTCCATCTTCCATAAATAGGGAGTCAACTTTGCTCATTCTACTACTTGAGAATATTGGAAGGAGCAGCTTTCTTTAATATAGAAACATATTTGGTTGAATTAATGTTTCCTTCACACACCACAAGGGTTCTGAGCGACCATCACTCCAAATTGCACCCCATACCATTACTGAAAGGGCCCCATGTTTCACCGTTGGCTGCAGTCTTTTTAAATCAAACTCTTGATTACAGAGTCTCCATACCCATACTCTTCCACTGTCGGAAAATAATGCGAATCTTGACTCATCAGAGAAAATGACAGTGGTCCAAAAGGTCACAGGTAAATCTCCACCATCTCATGAGCCCAATCCTTTCTGCGTTTGATATTGGCTGGACGGAGAAGTGGTTTCCTTCTCGCAGCTCTGCCATAGTAGCCCAGCTTGTGAAGATACCTGACAGCTGTTCTGGGACTGACATCAACTTGTGTTGCTATGTCAGAGGCCTTGCAACGTGGATCCTGTTCAACATTTCTTTCGACAAGACGCATGGTTCTTTCAGAGGGCCCAGGGAATTTTTGCCTGGAGGTTTAAATGCACTTCTTGCCCTCTCTGGATCACTCTATTAACAGTAGAAAGGGGTATTGAAAGAATTTCAGATATTTTCCTTTGACTAAGACCACCTTCATTTTGGCCCACGATACGTCCTCGCTGAAATTCGGAGGGGGTCTGATGCTCCTTTGGTTCGTGGCATGTTTCAGTATTGTTATCTGCAATTTATCTTGGTTATTAAAAAAATCTAATTTATCTTGGTTATTAAAAAAAATCAGAAATAAAATTTATCTTGGTGTCTATTCAATTCTGTCAGTATATATATATATATATATATATATATATATATATATATATATATATATTATATAGGGCGATAAAAAAAACGGGAACATTTTCACAATCCAATAAAACCAAGAGTGATAGAAGAACATGCCATTTAAGAAACAATGACGGAATTTTCATTTTTTTAAAAAGTACGTCCTGTAGATGGCGTCCTCCTGTACGAATGCATTCTTGAAATCTGCTGTAGAGATTCCTTATTGACTGCTGCAACATCTCAGCTGGATACTGTGAACTTCATCTTGAATTCTAAATGGCGAAATGTTTACTTGCTCAAGGTCACTATCTCGCAGTGTTGCAACTTGCTCATCTCTGGCAATACGCACTTCAAAAATTCCCGTTTTTTTGAGTCACCCTATATATGAGAAAAATTGCTTGGTAGACATTCTTAAATATAAATTACTGAAAGTAAATTTGGTTTAAGAAAGTTTATTATCATGGACCGAACATGTGAGCAACGATGAGGTTTTTAAGAAGATGCAAACAAGGAGGAAGCTTATGCTTAACATCAGGAAGAGGCGGCTGAAATTTCTGGGTAATACGTAATACGTAATGAGGTATAGAGGGAAAGTAAGAAAAGAGAAAACAACGCATGACATACCTGGAGCGCTTAAGCAAGCGGTTGCCAGAACGCGGTATGGAGGATGTAGAAGAGTGAAGGAACTTGTTGAGAGCTGCAAGACATAGAGGGAGCCATGATCGTCTACTTCCTGAAAGAACATGGAACATAGAAAGAAAAAAAATTACCAAATTTGGCAGGTCTCTCTCTCCCAATTCCGCCATAATATATATTTTTTTTATAATTTCAAAATGTCTCTTTGGGCGACATCACTTATTTTCCTCTGTTGTTGGTCTGTCTAGACTCTCCGTTTGCCTCGATTATTTCATCATACAACAACTAAAGCTAAATGACATTCAAATTTAGACACAAGAAGAAGCGTTATTTGTAGAAGAATTTTTGATTGAATCTGTTTTGAGGCTTCGCTCAGGCAGTTGCTTAAAATTACCGACAACATCGGAGGCTATTTGGAAGAGAGAAATATTCAAGAAAAAGTGTGATGGGAAAGAAAATAACTAAAAAAAGATTTAATTCTTTCTTGATTTTTTTTTTTACCTCGATTTTTGTTTTTCACTTTCATATACGCAATAAGATTTAGTGGACAAGAGTCTTGAACGAATGAATGTACAGCAGGCATGACGGGGGTTGGGAACAGAATAAATCATAGGGTGATGAAGAGGAGGATCAGCGGGTAGGGGAGGCGTCGAAGTGTGATAGCAGTAAATCAATGGACCTTTAGGAAGAAATCGATGGGTTATGAAGAAGAAATTGAAGTGTGGTAATGAATAAATACATTTTTCTTTCTTTTTTTTTTTGACTAATGAAGCGCTGGAATACTCACAGCCTAAGTTAAGCGATGGATTGGTTGCTGATTGGTTGTTTTTCCTTACTGGCTGGTCAAAATGTATGGGTTATTTAATGCTAAAATTTAAATATTTTGTACGCAATTTTATTTTCATTTCTTTGAAATAATTATTATAGTGATACGTTTTACTAATAAACCCTCAAGTTAGTTAAGTGCCATGGGTGATACACGCTTAGGCGATCATGTATCTTTCGATACGTAACTGACGAAGCAGATTTTTTCCCGCAGTAGGTTGCCATTTCTTTCTGCGGTAGACCAGTTGCCATCTAAAGTTATAGAACCCGGATTTTCCTGCTATTTAGCTGGTGATTTTAGTGATACGTTTTACTCATAAACCCATCAGTCAGTTATGTGCCATGCGTAATACACTCTTAGGAGATCATGTATCTTTCGATACGTAACTGACGAGAGAGATTTTTCCCGCAGTAGGTTGCCATTTCTTACTGCGGTAGACCAGTTGCCATCTAAAGCTATAGAACCCGGTCTATCCTTCTATTTACCCATAGCTGGGAGGTTTTATTGATACGTTTTACTAATAAGCCCATCCAATCTTACAGCACCTGTATTTCCAAGCGGTCCCCCATCGAGGTACTGACCAGGCTCGATGTTGCTTAAATTCAGTGATCGTACGAGAACCGATATTTCAAGCACAACTTTGGCGTTGGTCACAACCACCAGTATCTTCTTCGTCTCTATCTCTTTCCTCCATCCATCTATCTATCTATCTATCTATCTATCTATCTATCTATCTATCTCATTTTAATCACTATTTATCAATACTAGTCTCTTCGTCTCTATCTCTTTCCTCCATCTATCTATCTATCTATCTATCTATCTATCTATCTATCTATCTATCTATCTATCTATCTCATTTTAATCTCTATCAATTCTAGTCTCTTCGTGTCTACCTTTGTTACCTTTTATATGTATGTCGATATGTTCATATTTCTATCCCCGCCATTCTTTCTTAACTTCGGGGATGGTACGGGAACCACTGTCCAAAGTGAAGTGACTGTACCTCTTAAAGGACGGAAAGAGATTTATTAAATATTTAATAAAAGGGGAGAGTGGAATAAGGAGGTCTTCAATAAAAGATAATTGTCCACACTCGTGTATATATTCGTCTGTCTACTTATCTCTCTTTGGATATATATCAATGTACAACAAAAAAAAATTATACAACTATATACTTTTCTACATAATCCTTTTCCTTCTCAATGCATTTAATCCAATTAATTTCTATAAATCACATAGATCAGACGTGATGATATTACATCAAAATCAGATTGGTAGACGACTTAATGATTAATTATACATTTCTTACGTCTTCACCCTCCTTCACTTTCCTCACACACACACACACACACACACACACACACACACACACACACACACAAACAAACAAACAAAAATGTATGACGAACCAGGGATGCTGCGAATTTTACTTTTTTTTCCCAGCGTCCCTTGTTCGCGCGTATGTGCAGTCTTACCGACCTAATAAATTTAGTCTAAAAGGCGAAACGCGTCATAAGTAAACTTTTTCCACTTAGTCATACATTACATTTCCATAAGATTGTTTTGATATATCTTTATATATATATATATATATATATATATATATATATATATATATATATATATATATATATATATGTATTGTTGTGGATTCCGTGATGAAATCCGGTCTCCAATGAATGACAAACGCAGGAAATGAAATATAACAAATAAATATATTTACACAATAATACAATTGGTAATACGGTTAGTAGCGGTAATAATATATATATATATATATATATATATGTATATATATATATATATATATATATATATATATATATATATATATATATATATATATACAGTCTGGTAAATTCAATCTCGAAGTAGGACTTCCTTAGAGTCTACGTGCTTGTAACTGTGACTTCTACAAGCGGTTACCTCACACTATTACTCTACCTCCAACTCAATCACAATCACTGCTCGCTCTCTGTTTACTCTGACTGACTCTGAGTATTTAAAGGCAGCAGTCCAAGTACATACTGGTCGAGTCCACTTGTATGAAAAAGGGTGGAACAACACACACACACACACACACACACACATATATATATATATATATATATATATATATATATATATATATATGTATGTATGTGTGTGTGCGTGTGTGTGTATGTGTCCAGATATATAGTTTTAAAGTGTGCTATGTTTATGGGATAAAGTTCTCAACATCAGAGATAGACTGTATGTAAATATAAATATAAAAGTGAACATTGAAGTCAATAGTCGATTGCTTCTAGCATGAAACAGCCTGTTGACTTCAATTATTTTTAAGACATATTTTTATGTTCATACGCTCTTTTTATAGATAAAAATATTTAAGTAAATGTTCTGTTTATAATAAACAACATTTACCGGCCTGAATGTCCGAGAAATTTTCGTAGAAAATATTCGTCCTCCGACAGGATTCAAACCTGTATCCTAAATGGAACCATCATATAGCCTAACGTGCTTTACCGATTTAGCCACAGATGAGAATTGTAGTTTAATAACAGTAAAATTGACCTTTCTAACCGAAACGCACTTCTGTCAAAAGGCAAATACAATTTTCTAACAAACAGATTTTTCTGCTCTCACACTTCTTGTTTGTGAAACACTCTTCAGGTATCTTGCTTTCTAGTCAACTTTGATCTTCAAAAATTTAAATACAAAGTCAATCGTTATTCTCGGTCTTCTTAATTCCTGTTCTTTTATTGTCCTCATTCTTTAATAATGTTTTTCTTTTTTTCATATTTCACATTCAGTAACCCCTTGTGTCTCCCTCTTCTTGTTCTGTCATTCATTCACAGTTGTTGAGGAGCTCATTATTTCCTGCTGGTACATTCGCTTTCAGTGGTCCCTTTGCGTGTCAAAATTCTCTAAAAATCCCCACCTCCTGTTATCTGCCACAAATATTTCAAAACACACTTTCTGATTCTAAATATAAATCTCCTTTTTGTTTGCATTTTCCCTAAAGCTAACTTGTTGTTCACACGTTCTGTCCATGGAATTCTCAGCATCCTTCTGTAGAACCACATCAGTGTTGTCTTGTCGCCTCTTCATGTGTACCAAAATCATCTAACCTGTATATTAACATATAGGAGTGTTGATATTACTTGGAAGTTTGTTGTAGCATACGTAAGGACGATAATGGGTATGTCCCCATTCATCTAAATACAGTAGTAAACACTGTATGTTGGTCTGCAGTTGGAGATTTGCCTCCTGCTGCGCTGGTCAAAGATCCCCATACGAGGCTATGACGAAGAGAAGAGTCTCGTTTCGGCAAACAGCTATCCAACCCCGTTTTATAGTGCGTCTACAGGGAATTTTTGGTCGAGCCTACGGGCTCCGATACCCCATATTAAATTCGGCCTTGTTCCACATCTGACCGCGTGAGGCGGTTAGTAGATATCCTGCATTTGGTGATTCATTAATGAATTTCACTTGATTTTTTTTTTTCACGCAGCGTATAGAATTTTTTAGTAGTCATTCTTCTTTTACAATCAAACAATTTAGCGAATCTTATATATGTTGTTCTTGCTTTAAATATTATCGTTCATTACCAACCTTCGTGGGATTATTCTATTCAGTAAACCTCCCTGTACTCTTTTCTTTGTTTCTAACATTTCTTTTTATGTTTCTTAATACAATGCATAGACTTTGGAAGATATATTTTGCCATTTTAATGTTTCTTCAGATTTCGGGGTTGACTTTTTTCCTGGTAAAAATCATAAACCCAAAACGAGGTAGAATTTTAAGGAATTATCCCTTCTTCGTTAAGTCCGGCATAGGTAGAAATGTTAAGTGGAAGAGACCATTGCTCTGTCTTTTTCCCGTGGGGTAACTTGCTTTCCTCATCCCAAATTAGTATGCACCGCGCTTAGTCGGTCATTATTCATGACCTTAACGACCATGTTTGAGTGACGCGCTAACTTGTACAGAAAAGAGTTTTGCAATAGACGCCATGAAGGGAAGATGCCTATCGGTCACCTAGTTTCGTTTTGTTTGGTTTACAGCATATCAACCCCAATGGGTTATTTAATGCCGACAAGTTTTTTTTATTGCTGTTAATATTTTTTTTTCAAAAATGTATTTCTGGTAATATTTTTTTCTTTCCAAAATATATTTTCTGGTAATATTTTTTCTAAAATCGCGTGTAACATATTTTAAAAAAAAATATATTGCTGGAAATAATGTATCTCTGGTAATAATTTTTTAACAAAATATTTCTAGTATTAAAATCAATTTTTACACTTTCGTAGTGTTTTGACCCCAGTTCGTTGGGTGGGGGTAACTATTTGCCCATAGCTGGTACACTAACAAGTTCTACCACCGCAGGTCAGAGAACACCAGCAATTAAATCCCCCTGAGTAGAGGCCTTCCTGTTGGATGTAGTTTATCATCTTACTCAGGACGGTTGGTCATCTGGGAAACAAAACCGACTCTTATAACCAGGGCCTCCAAGAGAAAATTTTAGAAATTTAGAAGACCACATTGAAACACCCCTGTTTAGACATGCAGATATCTTTCTCATCAGTGAACAGCTAAAAAACCTTTTTAATGTCCAGTAAATTTAACAGACTTAATCATTTTCTTTATAAATGTTCTATTTCCACGATCAAAAATAACAAATAAATAAAAATCATTTTTTTTTGGAGTTTTTTTTTACAAAATAATGTCGTTTTTGACGTTCAACTTCACGTCAAAAACGAGATTTTTTGAAGGGTTTAATATAATAAATTAATAATTTTAATGCCCAAAAAATATTCAATTAATGCAGCAGTATAAATCATTATTTACGATTACGTTCATCAATTTTTTTAGGTTTTGTTTGAATTTTTAATAAAATAAAAAAAAAAGTTCATAATAATTACTTTCATAGGAAACTAATTTTCTTAATAAAAACAAATCTAATATTTAACCAGAGGACTAATTAAAATGTGATTTCTACATTTTTACGTTTGCAAAATTTCATTTATTTACCACTTTGTCGCCAGATTCTTCATTTTTTATGGCAATGCCAGATTCAATACTCAGTCGTGCTAGATCGACAAGTTTGGTTTGAGATATACTAGACCTCAAATAATTTTCAATAAGTCTGAGATTACACAAAATCTGCACCAGTTTTAATATATATGTGTAAATATTATTAAAGTATTCCAACCCACATTGAAGCATGTATCCTCATGTTTCTGCCTCAAGATCTTTATCTCGCTAATAATTACAACACATAGTTTTTGCAAAACAAAATAATAATACATAAAAAAATATGATGACGCATGAATACTGTTTTGCGCTCGTCACGCCATTACATTAATTTCCGCATCTACCCTGGGCTCCAGGTAAATACTCTTGGTATTATTATATGTCTAAACAACTATATATAATTACAATGAATTAATACATACATGTCTTAAACTAAAAAAAAACAATTAAATTTAAAAAAAAGTATAGAGATTTTTAAATATGTGAAGGTAAATATATGTCGAGCTGGGGGATAGTAGAAATTGCATGTTCTCGATGGGAGATTGGTGGTGCATGATTGCTAGGGGTACATCTTAGTTCTTGGGAATTCATATTAACAAATTTAATGTTAAAATGGATCAA